CTCCTTCCCAGAGTCCGCAGGGCCCCGCATGATCCTGTGGCCGTCAGCCTTTCCAACCCTTTCCCCTTCCCACTCGCTCGCTCTGCTCCAGCCCCACTGGCTGCATGACAGTTTCTCGAAAAGCCCATGCGCATTGCTCTCTCAAGCTCTTAACCTGTTCTTCCGGGCTGCGGTGCTTTTCTCCCTGCTCTTCCCTGGCCGCCGCTTTCTCATCCTTCAGGTCTCAGCTCAAATGTCACCGCCTCAGAGAGGCCTTCCCTGACCACCTAAGCTAGCGTAACTCTTCTTTTTCCGCATTCTCTTTTATTCTCTATTTTTTTGTGTTTCCTTCTTGGTCCTTATCACAATTCGGAATGATTTTACTAATTTGTTTATTTGGTCAGTGTCTGCTTCCTCCACTAAACTGAAAGCTCCATGAAGGCAGGGACCATGTCTGTCCTGCTCCCTGCTGCATCCCCAGCACCTAAGGCTGCCTCCCACGAGGAGCATTCAATAAATATTTATCCAATAACGGAATCGATTAATTTTATGAGTCTTTGGTCACACAGCCAAGGGAACAGATGGAATGTTGCCTCTTACACAGAGAGACAGGGCTTAGGGCGTGATCCTCAGGTATTTAAAAGACTGCCCTGTTTCAGGAGATCTGTTGTTCTTTATGGCTCCAGAAGGCAACCTTAGGATCAGCAGGTAGACGGGATGGATGGAGGCAGCTGATCAGTTCAGTATCCGAGTGAAAGCTCTAACAGATGGAATTGATTGCAGTTGGAAGGGGCTGCTGATTGAGGCCATGAGGCGTGGGAGAGGCTGTCGGGGAAGTTGTCAGGAGACTCCAGCACTGCCTAGGAGTTGAACGAGAAGGTTATGCCCCTTTGGGATGCTCAACATGCTGTGGTTCTCTGCCCCCCTTCCCTGCTTCCCGGGACCAGGTCAGCCATGTGACTGCCTCCCTCCCCTGCGCGCAGCGGCTGAGCAGCTTCGGCAGAAGGATCTGAGGATTTCCCAGCTGCAAGCCGATCTCCGACGCCCACCCCCTGCCCCTGCCCAGCCCCCTGAACCTGAAGCCCTGCCTACTATCTATGTCATTACCCCCACCTACGCCAGGTAACAGGCTCTGGTGTACCCAGGAGGCCTGCATGGGCCAGGAGGTTGGGGTTGATGATGACTTTAGAGAGGAGCTGGGCCAAGGGATGTTCCTCAAACTGGGGCCTGCCAAATGACAGGGTAAATGAACCACATCTCTCCTCAAAGATTTGTGGGAAAAGGGTTGTTTTTCTAGTAAAAGAGACAGGGGTATGCTATGAAATAGAAGACACAGTTCCTAACAAATTTGAAGAAAGAACAAGACAGTTTCAAAGAAATGTTGAGCTTGCCCATGAGTTCACTTTCTCTCTCTCTCGGGGATCCTTTGGTAAGAAAGTTGGACAATCCCTGGCTAAATTGAAGTAGGAAAGGGCTTGGCCATACAGTCAAACTAGAATCTAGAAATAGTTACACCAGCTATGATTTACAGCATGTTTACTTTCTACCAGACATTGTGCTAAGTAAGAGGTTTACTCTTTTTTTTTTTTTTTAAATTAAAATGTAGCTTTCTCTTTGTACAAACCAACTGGGGAACATGGTTTTGGATCTATAGCTAAAGAGCCTGCCGACACCTGCCTGGAATCAGGTGGCTGACCCATGTAGGCACAGGCAGCTTTAGACCCTGTCCCCCTCCATACACACCGCATCAACCCTGGGGCAGACTAGTCTGCAGGATAAAGAAGCCTGGCCACACCTTCCCAGTTCCTTGTCTAAACTTAGGAAAACCCTCCCCTGGAGAGGAATGAGGCAAAGAGCTCCTCTAAATCTCTCTACTTAGAAACCCAGGCAGAGGGACGCCTGGGTGGCTCAGTTGGTTAAGCAGCTGCCTTCGGCTCAGGTCATGATCCCAGCCTCCTGGGATCGAGTCCCGCATCGGGCTCCTTGCTCTGCAGGGAGCCTGCTTCTCCCTCTGCCTCTGCCTGCCATTCTGTCTGCCTGTGCTCGCTCTCTCTCCCTCTCTCTGACAAATAAATAAAAAAAAAAAAAAAAAAAAAAAAAGAAACCCAGGCAGAGGACGTGGCCCTCCTGGTATTTTATTATTTTTTAAAAAGATTTATTTATTTATTTATTTATTTATTTTTTTAAAAGATTTTATTTATTTATTTGACAGACAGAGATCACAAGTAGGCAGAGAAGCAGGCAGAGAGAGAGGAGAAAGCAGGCTCCCGGCTGAGCAGAGAGCCCGATGCGGGGCTCGATCCCAGGACCCTGGGATCATGACCTGAGCTGAAGGCAGAGGCTTTAACCCACTGAGCCACCCAGGCGCCCCAAGATTTATTTATTTTTTTGACAGAGAGATCATAAGTAGGCAGAGAGGCAGGCGGGGGGGGGGAAGAGTCCGATGCCGGGCTCCATCCCAGGACCCCGAGATCATGACCTGAGTCAAAGGCAGAGGCTTAACCCACTGAGCCACCCAGGCGCCTCCCTCCTGATATTTTAGAAAGTCATTATAATTGAACCTTTAAGACAGCATTGTGGTAAAGTACTGTTATTCTCATTTTCCTAGCCAAGGAGACTGAGGCTTGGGGAGATCTGACCCATTTCCCCCAGTGTCTCACCTACTCAGTTACAGAGCTGGCATTCAAACCCAGATCTGATTCCAAAGCCTGTGACCTTAACCTGTAGTCTCCCACAGCCAGAACCGTGGGGTTGGGGGGGTTCCAGGCACGGGCTGCAGGAACAGGGCAGGGGAGCTTGGTGTGGAACTGATAGGTGAGAAAGAGAATTTGGGTATTGGCTGGGGAAAGACCATGGGGGATACTGGAAGGGGCCCAGAAGTTATGTGTATTGGCTGGCAGGCCGGAGCAGAAGGTACGGAGCCCTACCCCCCACCTTGCCTCTTTCCCCCTGCAGGCTGGTGCAGAAAGCCGAGTTGGTGCGGCTGTCCCAGACACTGAGCCTGGTGCCCCGGCTGCACTGGCTGCTGGTGGAGGATGCCGAGGGCCCCACCCCACTGGTCTCTGGGCTGCTGGCTGCCTCGGGCCTCCTCTTCACACACCTGGTGGTCCTCACCCCCAAGGCCCAGCGGCTCAGGGAGGGCGAACCCGGGTGGGTTCGGCCCCGCGGGGTAGAGCAACGGAACAGGGCCCTGGACTGGCTCCGGAGTGGAGGGGGCGCTGTGGGGGGAGAGAAGGACCCCCCTCCAGCCGGCACGCGGGGCGTTGTGTACTTTGCAGATGATGACAACACCTACAGCCGGGAACTCTTTGAGGAGGTAAGCCCCTCCCCACCCCTCTGGGGTGGGGTTGGGGAAAGAGGCAGGTGGGGCCAGCCTCACCTGTCACCTTGGTGACCGGTGTGAGGAGGGGGAAGCAGTGGGGCCGAGTGACCCCCGTGGCCCTGGGCCACCCCCCTGTCTGTTTCTTCTCTCCTGACCTCTCTTAGATGCGCTGGACCCGTGGTGTCTCAGTGTGGCCTGTGGGCCTGGTGGGCGGCCTGCGATTCGAGGGCCCTCGGGTACAGGATGGCCGAGTTGTGGGCTTCCACACAGCGTGGGAGCCCAACAGGCCCTTCCCAGTGGATATGGCAGGATTTGCTGTCGCCCTGCCCTTGCTGTTGGCTAAGCCCAGTGCCCAGTTTGATGCCACCGCTCCCCGGGGCCACCTGGAGAGCAGTCTCCTGAGCCACCTCGTGGATCCCAAGGACTTGGAGCCGCGGGCAGCCAATTGCACTCGGGTAAGGAGCTGGAGATGGGCCAAAATCCGGCTCTGGGATATGGAGGGGTGATGGGGGAAGCGGAGCAAGCCCTCGAGGAGGACGCTCAAAAGATGGGCTTTTGAACCAGGAGGGACCCTCTAGAGCCCGGATTCAACTTCGCTTACTCCGTTGCTGGGGAAGCTGGGAGCCAGCGTCGGCAAGGGGTCTCCTGCCACGCTGTCTCCTGGGCATTCACATAGCATGGGGGTGGCAGGGGTGGGGGGCTGCCCTTCACACTTCACAGCGGACGCTGTGTGTGTAGAGGGGGTGAGAGAATCCGTTCCACACTGAGGGCCCCGGAGGCCTCATGCCAGCCGGGCCCAGCCCTAACCGAAGCACGCCCGGGACAGGTTCTGGTGTGGCACACACGGACAGAGAAGCCCAAGATGAAGCAGGAAGAGCAGCTCCAACGGCAGGGCCGAGGCTCAGACCCAGCTGTGGAGGTGTGACGGCAATCCCCACCCTGACCACTGCCTCGTCAGGCACGAACCTGGGGGACTGGGCCCCTGGCCTGCCCAGGATGCAGTTTTCCAAATCCTGACCCCCTCAGAGCCAGGGGCGGCCCCCTCTGCCCCCTCAGCCCCAGGGCGTGGCCCAGCTGCTTCTCCCCTCCCCCAGCCTGCCATGTGGCACTGCCCACAGGCTGGGGACAAGCGGCCCTTGTGTTGAGTCGGGTCAGCCCTGTCTGGGGCGGAGCGGAAGGACAGACGCTCAGGAGGGAGGGCTGCTGAGCAACTGGGTAACTTATTGGGGCTGGGCATGCGTTGGGGGGCTGGAGGAGCTGGGCTGGACCCTCCCCACCTGAGCATGCTGACCCCCCTCCTACCTCCAGAATAAAAGATCTCAAGCTGGAGGGGCCTCTGGTTTCCTTCGTCGCACACGTCTGGTTCTTGCATTTGACCCTCACCAGAGTCCAGGCCCTCTGGGCGTCCTGGCTTCTCTGTCAGACAGAAATCAGCTCTCCCAAGGCCCCCCACCCCCTTGAAGAGGAAGGTCAGTGGCTTCCATCCAAAAGCTTTATTGAGTCTGTGTGCAAGGAGCAGTCTCCAGTCCTTCCCGCGTCTCCTTCCCCACACCCTGGGCGCCTTCTGTTCCCCCGGTGGCTCTTAGCCACAGGGGCTAGGGCCTGGACACCTAGTTTTCTCGCCAACCCCCCCCCCCCATCCAGCTCTGTGACTATCATTCGCCCCTCCTCTAATCCCAGGAACCGCCCCCCCCCCACCACCACCACGTGGAGGCTCGGTAAGGGGTTGTGAAGTTTTCAGTCCTGTCCATCCCTCCCCATCCCCCCTCCCAGTCTCCACCCCAAGCTTCAGGCCACTAGGCCTCAGGTAGACCCTCCTCAGGGGGTGCCTCTTCTGGTGGGGTCTCCTCAGGTGCGGGCCTTTGAGCCACCCCTCCCTGTTGCCACGCCGTTTTCAGCATGTCCTTCAGCCCGCTGGGGAAGAGATAGCCCTGGGTGTCTCCCTCCGCGTCAATGACTCCTTCAAGCCCCTCCAGGGCCGTCTGCAGGTACCGCAGGCCCAGGAGCACCAGGATCTGTGGGGAAGGCAAGGGGAGAGAGGTCAGTGTGGGTCAAGTGCTCCCCGGGCCAGGGCTGGAGGCATCGAGAGTTCCACTGAGGGGGGGAGCCCTTAGACACTTGGCTGACTCACCTGCAGCAGGAAGGTGACAGCCAGCCCGCCGCCCAGCACGCTCGCAAAGTCCTGCAGGTACCCCAGCAGTACCCCGTGGCATCCTTGGGCCCAGAGGTTTAGGTTGGGCTGACGGGGATCGAAGAGAGGGTGGGCGTGGGGCTCCGAGAGCCGGCTTTGCAGGCAAGGTCTGGGCGAGTGGGGGTTGCAGCAGGAGAAAGGGACACCGTCGATCAGATACAGGCCTTCCACGTTGCTCTGGATCCGGCTGCAAGGGGAGGGGTGGGGTGTTAGGATGGCTGGAAATAGAGGCCAGGAGGAGAAACTACAGGGCACAGGAGCTGAGAAGGGAAACAACACGAAAGACCTTTCCTGACTGGATTACCACCGCGTGCAGTGTGAGGCATGCACAATTCATTTATCTTTACAGTAAGTCTGTAAGGTGGGTCCTATGATCTCCATACTACAGAGGAGGAAACAGGCCCAGAGCAGTTTGGTAATGTGCCCTGGGTCACACACCTAATAAATGGCAGATCTGTAACCAATTCTCTCAATCACTACGCTCTATTTATTGCCTGTGGGGATGAGGTGGGTTTTAAGGGCGGAGGAGGCAAAGGAGGGGAAGGAGGCCAGGAGGAGGGGTGGGGAAGGGGAGAAACCAAACACTCACTCCACCACCTCCTGGTCATTGGGATCCAAGTAACGGCTGCTGACCCACTGGATGCCAAACCAGTCCTTGTACCCGTGGCGCCCGCAGCAGTGGTGCCTCAGCTGGAGTTCATCCAACAGCCGTTTGGCATGACAGTGTCCGGGCACCTCTGTGTCTTTGTAGTGAGCCAAGGCAGTCCCCAGGCCATCCTCCAGCCCCGAGTCCAGACTCCCAGGTAAAGCCAGGGCCAGCCCCAGGGCGAGGATCAGAAGACCCCCGCCACCGGCAGTGCCAAGCAGCAGCAGGGGGCCCAGGACCTTTCGCCAGGGAGGGTACTGAGCCGCGTCCAGGCTGGCCCTGCTGGCTCCCGCACCCACCAGTCCTGTGCCCAGAGCCCCCAAACCGGCAGCCAGGGCCACCTGTGGCAGGGCAGCAAAGGGGCAGGAGGGAGCCAAGAAAGTGCGGAGGAGCCACAGCTGGGCCAGGAGGTGTCCGCTATATAGGAGGGCGAGGCCACCGGCCAGCGCCAGCAGCCAGGAGAGGAGCCAGAGCCCCTGTGCCAGACGGATGCGGGGCTGGAGGGGCAGCACCAGGGGCAACACCGGCGCCATCTCCCATCTCTGCCCAAGGAAAAGCAGAGCGGTCGGGGACGAGGGTTGGCAGGGACAGGATGCTGAGTCAGCCTAGCCCGGCTTGAGCTGGGCTAATGCCACCCTGACCCCAATACCCTGGGAATCCGCCCACCCCCCGCCCCCAGCCTTAATAACCCGCTGCCCCCGCTCCTGCCAGTCCCAATTCGAGATGCCTTGGCCTTGCCCCTTAGGGAAAGCCCCACCCCCGGGCTAAGGGCCCAGTTCGTGACCCCGCCCCTGCCCCTCGCGGAAGTGGGGAGGGGCGGGTCGGCTGCTCTGCCCCTAGGGGCTAGGGGTTGGAGCGCGGAGACCAGAGAGGACCCCAGGGAGTCCGGGGGCTGGGATCCCGGAAGGGCCTGGAGGGCGGAGACCCGGAGGGGGCCCGGGGGTCAGCGAGTTGGCCCTGCCCTGGTCCCGAGCCGCGAGGCCCGGACAGGGAGGGGTTACCAGGCGGCCCGGCCTCCCCCCCACCTCGTCCCGCCCCCCCTCCCGCGCTTCCTGGCGGCTCCGCGTCCGGCGCCTGTTTGTGCCGCGGCGCTGGGGCCCGGGACGGCCCCGCCACCCCACCCCCGGGAGCCGAGAGCGGCCCCGGGAGAGTCCGAGGCCCCGGCGGGCCCCGGAGCCTGCCGCCCCCGCCCCACAGCGCCCCCTCCAGGCCCTTTCCCCTCGCCCGACAGCGCCCCCGGGGGGTGGCACGGCACCCGCGCGCGCGCGCGCGCGCCCCGGGGTGCTTCCCTTTCCCCTCTCCCTGGCCATGGCCCCGGCGGCTTAGAAGCCTCCTCCGCCGCCGCCGCTCGGAGCAAGCCGGGGGCCGGATGGACGGGGCCGGGGGGCCCGGTGAGTACGGGGCGGGGCGGGCGGCGTGCCCCTTCTCGGAGCGCCGGCCGGTCGGCCGCTGCCAGAGCCCCCACGGCTGTCTGGTGGCGTCCCCGCGTGCTTCTCGGCCTCAGGGGCTCTGAGCATCCTCCACTGGTCCTCAGGTCGCTCTCCCTAATTATATGGATCTCCTGCTGTCATTTCCAACTTCTTCAACGCCATCCACTCCCCGTGTTACTCTGGACCCCTGGGTGTTTCTCTGTCCCCTGCGTTATTCTGGGCCTCTTCTCCTGGTTTTGTGGGTCGTTTTACTTCTGACCCGTTACCCTGGGACCTTCACTATGACTCCGTCTCCACTGATACCCTCTCCCGTCATTCTTGATCTCTTCTGGTCGTCTGAGCCCTCAGATGACTGTACTCTCGTGTCCCCCTCTCCTTTCGCGCCCCCTCCTCAGTTTCTCTGCCTTCCCTGGAGACTGGAGCCTGCTCTGTGGTGGGCCGTCATCCTTCACCCGCGCTGCGCCTCACTCTGTGGTTCCCACGTTCCTGGGCAGTACTCCATATTTCCCCCCTGGTACTCCACGGTACTCCCTGTCTTTGCGGAGGCTGAGACAGCAGCAGGAAGGGAGCGCTGCCAGACTCCTCGCCTGCCCTGGCCAGAAGGAGGCCCTTGATCCTCTACCACCCGTCTCCTCCCCTCTGGGCCACCCTCCAAGCCTGGGGCTGCTTGAAGGGGGTAGTCCTATTGGACAAATGCAAAGTTGAGGGTAGACAGAATCCCCTCAACCCTTTCTCCCCGTGGTGGGTACATTCTGAGTGCCTGTTGCCCCTTTCCCAGGTGAGGGCCCTGCTCAGGAGGCCTTGCAGTCCTTGAGCCAGCGGCTTCAGGTGCAGGAGAAGGAGATGGAGCTGGTTAAGGCAGCCCTGGCTGAGGCCCTCCGCCTGCTGCGGCTGCACGCGCCCCCCAACCCCCTGCAGGACCCTGGCACGCCCTCTCCAACCCGAGACAGGTATGCCTGTTGTCACACACCCTCTTCCTTCCAGGAATCTCTAGGGGCATCAATCAGGTTGATTCACTGTCTCCCCAGCAGCCCTGCAGCGCCCCCAGGACTGCCACCCGCGTGCGGCCCCTCCTTGGTGAGCCGGGGCACCCAGACCGAGACTGAGGTGGAGACGGAGCCATCCCTGGGCCCCCCTAGCCTGAGCAATGGGCCCCCGGCCCCCCAGGGGGGCAGTGAAGAGCCTGGTGGGACCCAGTCTGAAGGAGGGGGCAGCAGCAGCAGTGGCGCTGGTTCCCCCGGCCCCCCGGGGATCCTCAGGCTTGTGCAGTCCCCGCAGCGTGCTGACACGTAAGTGTCCTGCGGCGGAGGCTGGGAGGACTGGGAGGACTGGGGAGCACGAGCAGAGGGAATGATCCTGACCTGCTCACTATGCTCCTACCAGGCCACGGAGAAATTCTTCCTCCTCCTCATCCCCCTCAGAGCGGCCTCGGCAGAAACTCTCCCGGAAGGCAGCTTCCTCGGCTAACCTGTTGCTGCGGTCAGGGAGCACGGAGAGGTGGGCCAGCCTGCCCCGCCCCCCGCCCCTCCCTACCCCACCCTACCCCAGACTCAGGCTCTTGATTTTCCACATCCCTCACCTCAATTCCCTGGGTGGGGTGGGGGGACCTCATTGCCCAACAGGAAGAAAGGAACAAGTGCTCCTGGGGCACCTGCTGTGTACCTGGCCCTGTGCTAAACCCTCGACCTTCTCCACCTCATTCAGTTCCCACGACATCCTTGGGGGGTAGGTGGTCTCTTGCTGTTCATTGGCCAGGTGAGGAAGCAGGCTCAGAGAGGGTAAGTCATTTGCCTGGGGTCACACAGCTAGAGCTAGGATTCAAACCCTACTTTTCCTGACTCCGGCTCTACTGTATCACCGCAAACCTTCCAAGATTCTAAGAGGTACCGAAAGCTGTCCTGATTTTCACAGATGATTGTTTTCGGAGTTTCAGCCCTACCCCTCAGCTCCACCTGCCCCCACCCCCTCCCCCAATCTACCAGGCTTTATTTCTAATCAACTGAGCCACCCAGGCACCCTAACAGGCTTTATTTTTAGAGAGCAAGGGGAAATCCTAGTGGCTGAGTATAATTGTCTCAGAGTACCTACAGGGCCCAGGACCCCTGAATGTTTATTCGAGCCCTGTCCTTGGTCTCCTTTATTCTCTAAAGAAATATTACTGCCTGGACGCCTGGGTGGCTCAGTTGGTTAAGCAGCTGCCTTCAGCTCAGGTCATGATCCCAGCGTCCTGGGATCGAGTCCCACATCGGGCTCCTTGCTTGGCAGGGAGCCTGCTTCTCCCTCTGCCTCTGCCTGCCACTCTGTCTGCCTGTGCTCACTCTCGCTCCTCTCTAATCTTAAAAAAAAAAAAGAATTTATTTACAAAAAAAAAAATATTACTGCCTTATAATCTAGTGACAGCTCTTTGGGGAATTCACCTGTTACTTTCCTCTGGTGAGAGAAGGACTTTCTGGCTCACATCCCAGACCTTGAAAGGCAGGGCTGGTGTACCTTTCTGGATTCACTTTGGTCCCATTTTACAGATGGAGAAATGAAAAGTCCAGCCAGAAGCCTGGTGGTCTAGAGGAGAGGGCCCCCCTTGCCATGCCGCACTGCCTCTCAGGCTTTAGGGCTTTGTGCCATGTGCCCTGCCCCTTTAGCCTAAACCTTCTCATCTCCTACGTGGAGCTGAAAGTCCCCATCTCCTTGGGGCCCTGAATGCTCCGAATGCAGACTAAAGGCCAGCAGACCTTGTTGGGTATCTAGAGGAACCTCCTTTCTTGTGTCCTGCCCTTTCCCAGTTAGGTCTTGGGACCTGACCCCATCCCTCTGCTTTTCTCTCTTCCCAACAGCCGTGGGGGGAAAGACCCCCTCTCCAGCCCTGGGGGTCCTGGGTCTCGGAGGAGCAACTATAATTTGGGTATGTACAGAGGAGTCCGGAAGAGCTGGGATGACAGATTTGGGGTTTGGGCTACAGCCCCAGGAGCTATTGTGGGGGACCTGTGAGGTGTGGTGGGTAGAGTTTTCCTGAAAGGGAGGCTGCAGGGTGGTGGTTGACACCCCCCTTCTCTCTGTAGAAGGCATCTCAGTGAAAATGTTCCTTCGCGGCCGCCCCATTACCATGTACATCCCGTCTGGCATCCGCAGCCTTGAGGAGCTGCCCAGCGGCCCACCCCCGGAGACCCTCAGCCTTGACTGGGTGTATCCTGCCCCCTCCAGTCCCACGGGAGCCACCTTTCCCATCTTGGGGACCCCCCCTTCTTGATGGTTTCCCCCTGGGTCCGTGGGATCAGGAAGCCTTCTGACTCCTCCCCTACCATCCTTTGCTGATGGTGCTGCCAGCCAGAAGCTCTTTTGTTGCCCCCTCTCTACCTCATTCTGCCCTTGGTCTGACCCTTTCCTTGACTGTGATCCCCACTCCAGTTATGGGTACAGGGGTCGTGACTCCCGCTCTAATCTGTTTGTGCTGCGCTCTGGGGAGGTGGTCTACTTTATTGCCTGTGTGGTGGTGCTGTACCGGCCCGAGGGAGGCCCAGGGGGCCCTGGAGGTGGCGGCCAGAGACATTACCGGGGCCACACGGACTGCGTTCGATGGTGAGGGGCCCAGGGCCTGGGAGTGGGCAGCTCTAGGTGTGGGGATGGTGGGCTTGTCAGGGTCTGGGTGGGTGTGGAGGAGCAGGAGGGCTCTCCAAGCACGGAGGACATGTCCTGGGGGGTCTTGAGAGACCGACCCCCTTCCCTAGAGCGTCTCCTCCCCCACTTAGCCTGGCCGTCCACCCAGATGGTGTCCGTGTAGCTTCAGGACAGACAGCTGGAGTGGATAAAGATGGCAAGGTAAGGCCAAAGTCCAACACCAGGCAGATGGGATGAAATTCCAGCCTGGCTTTCCTTCGAGTCCCTGACCCCTTTCTGACCCTCCCAGCCCCTGCAGCCGGTGGTTCACGTCTGGGACTCAGAGACCCTGCTGAAGCTGCAGGAGATTGGACTGGGGGCCTTCGAGCGGGGCGTGGGAGCCTTGGCCTTCTCAGTGGCGGTGAGCTGGCCCCAAAGCCTGTAGATCCCCGGCTTCCTTACCCAGGCACCTCCTTGAACTTCACCAGGACGCCTCCAAAGTTCTGGCCTTCTTGAACCCCACCCCCACCCCCAAGCCGATTTTCCTGAGAAAGGGACAGGTGTCCAATCCTCCTGCCTGTTCCAGCCGCGATGGCAGCCCTTGCCTAATGACTGTGAGCCCACACACCTCTAGGCCTCACTCGGCCTCACCGATGTGTTCCCCGTTCTCAGGATCAGGGTGCTTTTCTTTGTGTCGTGGATGATTCCAATGAACACATGCTGTCGGTGTGGGACTGCAGCCGAGGAACGAAGCTGGCTGAGATCAAGGTGAGGAGGGAGTCCAGGTGGCCTGGCGTGGCCGTGAGGTTAGGG